TTGAGGACAGCTTCATATTGAAATGGTAATGGCACACTTCATAGAAGGCCATGGCTTATATGACTGTAGACAGAAATGTCACTGTGGGACAGAAGCATGTACTAGTCAGTCAGCCTCCATCATCAAATGGCAGATAGAGCACAGTCTCCAGCCTTACTAAGTGTTTGGTCCGAGGCTGAGGCTGAAAATGTAAACAAAGCAAAAATGCTTGCGCCATGACACAAATGTATGTGTCACACCTAAAAGCATGAAAGGAGATCAGGACAGAGTGAGTGAAAGACATTCACAGGCAAGCATGGGGCCACTTGACCTAGGCAGGTAGAAGAAACCATGGTCGCACCAAAAGCCTTGATGAGCAAATGCATGGTAGGGTGTGGGGGAGAGAGACAGAGAGAGAGGCAGAATGTTCCATGCCCTGTGGGGAGAGGTAGATCTGAAGAAGAGAAGTTGTGAGAAATAGTCTGATATGGGTGGTCTGCTTGCCCCCTGAGGCTATGGTGACATCAGGGCCTGAACTGTTGCCAAGGGCCATGTCTGAGTTATGACCCTGTTACAGCTGAGGTCTGTATTAATGTCCTTGGATCCTGTTACCTCCAAAAGCCACAAGGATGTCTGGGTTCTGGGCTACCACCTGTGGCCATGTTGGGGTCCAAGGGAGATGTCGTTGCCAGGGCCATGCTCATCTGAGTGGCCTGCACTGGTGTTATTCAGATCTGAGCTACTGCTGAGGGCTATGTCTGGGTCCATGGCCCTACTGTAGCCAGAGTCTGTGTTGATGTCTGTTGTCTGTGTTACCACAAAGGCCCATAAAGACTGTGTGTTGATTGAACTATATGTTAAAGTGTGAAGTTCATGCTGAATTGACCTCTGAGCTAATATCATCATCCCTGGGATAGGGACCCTGATAACCCCAGCACAGGAGAGCTGACCCCATCCCTCACAGTACAACTTCTGGACTCCACACTTGGGAAAGCTGGCCCCACCCCTCACCATGGATGTGAGAGAGTTGGCTCCACTTCTCAACAAACAGGAGTGGTCCCAGTGGCTAGGAATGACCAACTCAGCTACCACCCAAGCACTGAGTTTAGAAATAGAAGATGCTAGTGACAGAAAGACCTCTAAGGTCTTTATATTAGACCTTATTATATTAGATTATATTAGAACAATCAATATTCTGAAAATAGCCAACCTAACTGTGGTAGCTTGATTCTAATTGGCCCCTACGATCTCATAGAAAGTGGCACTATTGGCTGGCTTTGTTTAATTGGGTATGGCCTTGTTGGAGGAAGTGTGTCACTGTGGGGGTGGGCTTTTAGGTTTCCTATGCTCAGGATAACACCCACTGTCTCAGTCGACTTCCTTTTTGCTTTCAAGCCAAAAAGTATCCAGCACCATGACTGCATACAGGTTGCCATGTTCCCTGTCATGAGGATAATGGACTGAGAGTTGTTGTGGTCATAGTGTCTCTGCACAACAATATAAACCCTAACTAAGACACCACTAAAATCAATCTACAGATCCAATGCGACCCCTGTCAAAATTCCAGTGCAATTCCTCACTGAAATTTAAAATGTTATGCAAAATAATGAAAGCAGCACAATATTCTCATTAAAACAAACAGTTATCAATAGGATAGAATCAAGGGCATAGACAATAGCCATGCTCCTACAGCTACCTAATTTCTGACAAGGTCCAAAATAACACACCAGAAAAAAAAAGACAGAATCTTAACCAAATGGTGCTGGTTAAAATGTGGAAGAAATAAACTATTCATATCTCTCACCCTTACCCTGCACAAAACTTACCCTGAAGCTGGGTTACAGAATTCAACACAAAACTGATATACTGAATCCATTAGAGGAGAAATTGGGGGGTGTACTTAAACTCATAGGAACAAGAAAGAACGTTCTAAACAGAATCCAGGTAGCCCTGTCATTAAGAGCAACCACTGAGTAATTGGACCTCATGAATTGGAAATGCTTCTACACAGGAGTGGACAATATCTTTGTAGTGAAGAGGCCATCTATAGATTTGGGAAAAATAATTAGGACATGATAATTGTCATATAACTAGTTACAAAGTAGGAAGTGCAAGTAAGGAGTTGTCTTATTAGATTCTGAGCATTTCTGTATAGAGCTTAGAATATTATGACCAACTTTCCCCATATTATGACATAACTTTGAAACCAGTCCTCTGTGGGTATTCTTGACTGGTTTAATGAAAAGCAATATTGAGATGAATACAGCACCTACATACTGTACCATCACAGACTTGATACAGCTTCTACATAATTTTGCTTTAGTTCATGTAAGAACTGAATATATATGTTTAAGTCAACAAATGTCAAGTGCTAGTTTTGATGAAAGTTTTGTAAAATAAAGTTTGAAATGAAATGACATTTATACATGCTTTTAAATCTCTTTGACAAAACCCTCTTGAAGCTAATGCCATATTTGTTTGGTAAAGTGTAAGGATATTAGGATCTGTATTGCTGTGGATGCTATTGGCTTGCCAGCCAATGTTTAATTTCCTAAAATGTTATTTAGGAAAGGCATAAAAATGATCACTATTTTATCTGTACAGATGTTAATGTTTTAATTCTCATATAGTTAGGAGAATATTTTTAAATTAATTTTAATTGCACTTATTAAATAATCTATTTGTCTTGGCTACAATTTTGTAGTACTGAAGTCTTGATTTAGAAGAGTTTAAAACCTAGAGACTCTCAAATTATCTCTGAGAACTCTCCAATCTCCAAGCAGACCTACCTGTAACATTTTGTTCCAGACAGTCTGAATAATAATGATTGCTGCCCACTCTTCCCCCACCTAAAAGATAGAAACTTGAAAATGTTATTGTTTCATTTATTTAATTTGGCCTAGGTTGATGAACAATTGAAATAACCCAAGTATTCCTTGAGACCCTGAAATAAAGTTATTTGCATTCCCAATCACATCCTCAGGTGTGCAGAGATTTACAAGAGTCATGCTATCACACAGATGTGGGACTCATTCCTGGTTAACAGTGGAGACAAAGGCAAAGGTGGGAGTGTGCTTGGGACAAATAAATTACCCATGGCAATGGCCAAGCCAAGGCCCCAGGGTCAGTGGTATGTGGGTGAATCTGAGCTAAACACTGATTGCGCTGATAAAGATCAAGGGAAGAAACCCAAAAGTGTATGCAGGGCAGGGCGAATGGTGCCTTTGATTTAATCTTCAAACACTTTCTGTAATCCTGTGTTCCATTTAAGACACTTTTAGCCTGCATGCAAAAACAATCTTCTATGTCCCTATGAGACAAAATTCCACTCTGAGCCAAGAGCCTAGCATTCCAGAAATGTAAGCCATGGCACAGAAATCTAAATTCAATTCATCAACACCATCTGTATTACCAGCTGTTCACCTCTCAGACTTTCCTTCATTTCTCACGTACCCCATGTTCATAAGCCAGTAAAATATTAAGGAAAACGCTCTTCATGTTTTTAAGTCCTCCATCTCAAAGCTATCCCTACATTAATGTTGCTTATGCCACTTGAGAAACAACGCGTATTTATTTGTCTTGGGGGCTGTTTAGTGATGCCTTCCTCTGAAAAAAATTAAAAGCACACCACAGAAGAACAGCACGTGTTTGTGTGAGTTTGACAAGACGGTCACATTCAGCAAATTCTGTGTCACTTGGCTCAATAACCACCAGCCACATCACACTTTTAGGGAGCCAAGCTTTCCCCTATTGGTCTTTGCTTCTGTAGAGGATTTGACTTCTCATTCATGCATTCAACCATTTATTCATTCACAGATTTACAGATTGCTCAGTGATTATTCATCATACAACAATCAAATCATACCAAGAAGCCTTTCTGATATTGTCCATTATTCGATTTTTATTTCTTTGATTCTTCACTCAGTCGCTGAGGATATTAAAAATACATTCTAATAGAAAATTTATAAGGGTACATGAGATATTGCAAGTAAAAATTTTGACGCATGAATTATCTTAATAGTGCTATAATTTTATCTAAAATATCAGCTATATGGAGGATTATATATTGAAGGTCCCAACTGATGGTGGTATTGGGAGGTTGCAGACTCAACAGGTAAGATGAAAAATGTCAAGGAAATTTAGATTGTATTCCAATTTTTTAAATTTATTTATTTTATTTAGAATCAATCATATTTTATATATCCCAGTTCCCTCTCCCATTCCCCCTATGGACACCCCCCCAATTCCACCCCCATCCACTCCCCAGGGAAGGTAAAGCTTTCCATAGGGGCTCATCAAAGTCTGTCACATCATTTGGGGGAGTGCCTAGAACCTCTTCCATGTATCTCGGCTGAAAGCGTATACCTCCATGAGGAATAGGCTCCCAAAGTTCATTTCTGCACTAGGGATAAATACTGGTTCCACTATCAGAGGTCCCATAGATGGTCCAGGCCTCCTAACTGACACCCAAAGTCAGAGGGCTTGGTTTGGTCCAATGCTGTTTCCTCAGCTTTATGACTGGGGTCTGATCCATGTGCTCTCACTAGGTCAGATCAGCTGTTTCTGTGTATTTCTCCAGCATGGTCTTGACCACTCTGCTCACCCCTCCTCCCTCTCTACAAGCAACCTACAATCCACACCTCCAGAGGAGCTAGGAAACAAGGAGGACCCTCAGAGAGTCATACATGGTCCCCTGAAGAAGGGGAAAGGGAAAAGAGCTCCTGAGCAAATTGGGAGCACAGAGGTGGGGGTTAGAAAAAAAAAGAGAAGGGGAGAAGAGAAGGGGGAGAAGAACATGAGGGATCAGGAAGACTGAGTCAGGGGAAGAATAGAGGAGAGCAAGAAAAGAGAAATCTAGAGGGAGCCATTATGGATTTAAAGAGAAATCTAACACTAGTGAAATGTACAGAGATCCAGAAGGATGACCCCAACTAAGATTCTAAGCACTAATGGAGAGGCTACTTTAAATGCCTTTCCCCAATAATGAGATTGATGACTACCTTAAATGCCATCCTAGAGCCTTCATCAAGTAGCTGATGGAAGCAAAAACAGAGACCCACAGCTAAGCACTGAGTATTCCAAATTATGGTGGTAATTAATCTAGCTCCTCACATTACTAACACAAGTTGATGAAAGAGATTAACAAGATAATTGACATATATCTGACATCTTTAATCAAATGTGAGGTATACATGGAATACTCAGCATCTTTATGCTGGAGTCTTCATCAGTTAACAAGACAAGTTTCATGAGGTTTTATACAATTGGATGGGGTTACTACATTCCAACAGCATAACCATGTAACTGCTAGCTATAATCATGTTTATTTTATCATTATGGTCAACAGACACTATTCATAGTTTTGCTGGGTAAATCTCACAAACTTTCTTAGAGAACATAGAAACACAATGAATTAAATTAATCTACTCAAAGTCACATCATTAAGTTATGGATTTGGGGTTTCATCTTAAGTATCATAGGTCCATAAATTATTAGCTTATTGGGCACAATAGCACAATGATCTTATTTGCACCACATAAAAATAATTTGTATTCACAAGGTTCACATTAACCCAACTTATTTCACTAAACAATAAATTTCAAATTAAAATAAGTCATTTTTTTACAACAGAGAGGTACCATGATATTGATTTTCTTCTACTCACTAAACTTGTCATTTCCCATTAAAACATATGTTTTTATTGCATTCACTTATTAGGATACGTAGCAGGTATAAGCCCTCAATGTTAAAATGCATATAAGAAGCAGATAAGGATAAACAAACAGTTTTAGAATATATTTAGAATGTTTCTTTATCATAGGCATATTATGTTTTCTTATCTTGGATTCTCCACAGTGTGTTAAAACAGATACACCTGAATTACAGATTGCCTAGTTCATTCCAAAACAATGGCCGGTTACATTGTTGCAGCTGACAAATTCTTTAGTCCACAACTTTAGACTGGATGAAAGAAGGCATTCACACCATCTGTGTCTTACAGGCACCTAGCTGAAGCTCTGTCATTGTTCTTTCCTTAAGTACAAAATTAAACTTACAGAGTGGTGGTCTTTGAAAGAGAAGCAAAAAGGGAAACAGTTATTAGTAAAATTGCAATTTTTATTTCCTTTTCATGTAAATATTAGGATACTCTAAATCTGTAATTTTCCAAAAGTAGGGAGTTGGAACAATCCCATAGACCTGAATCCACTTGTCTCATCTGTGTTAGTGGGATGACATAGATATTATGCTTCTGAGGAAGAAAATAATTCTCCCTTTCCACTTCTGTCTCTGTTACATCACAGGCTATTCACATGGTATAGGATAGACAGCGCTATTGAAATCAGTCCCTTCCTGAATTCAACTTTAAGGTAGCTATCATGCCTTATAGCTACATCTAGACTACTACCAGAGAGATAGAGTGACATATAAGACATATTTTATCTAAATTCTTTTCCTTAACTCTATTTGCCATTCATTAAAATTGAAACACCATCAAGTAATATATTGTACATTTTAATGAGAACATGTATACAGTGCTTGAGATGGCTAATAGATTAAACCACTATGGTTAATTAAGAAACTTGTCCCGTTGCTTGTTTTTTTTTCTGTTAATGTTTGGAAAAACTTGAAAATAAAAAAAGACACAGGAAAATAAGACATGGTAGAAATAACATATATTTTTTATTCATCCATGGTTACTAAGTCAAGAGAAGTCAAATTGACCACACAGATTATCTTACTTTTATGTGACAGGCTCCAGAGTTACATATGTTCCAACTTCCTAAGTTGGTGGAAATACTACTGGGTGATGTTTGTTTGCTTGTTTGTTCTAACCATGTCTTGTTATATAGCTCAGGTTGGCCTTGAATTCACTTTAAACCTTCTGCTATGTCCTCTGTATTCAGAGACCACAGTCATGAACTACTACAGCTATCAACATTGCAAATTACTTAAGAGCAGACTGCATTTGAATTTCTTAATTTTCACAAGACATAAATTTTATGTTTGCATATAAAATATAAGCACCTATTGTTATGGAAATGAGTAGGGAACAGTATAGTGCTTCCCATTTAAAATACTAAAGGCTGCTTGTAGCTTTCATTTTCACACTGTAGCCCTATAATTGCGAATTGTTACTACTCAGATACTCATCATTAAAGGCACTTTCTCTCCCAAAGGACCCTAGGGGCTTGATTCCTGCAACAACTTGAGTTGTAGACCGTTCCAGGGCATCAGATGCCCTCTTCTGGCATCTGCAGGTACTACATGCAAGTAATGCAGAGATACCCTTATAGGCAAAACACATACACATAAAATAAATTAAAAATAAAATCTTTAAGAACTGGAGAGAAGTTGAGGAAATATTGTAGTTCCCCAAACACACAACTTCTTTCTCTATTCAGCTGTACTTATGTATGAATATGTCTTCAATACTTGAATTTCTTCTGCCTTGTTTTTACACTATTTTTAATGTGTAAAATGTGTTAGATCTATAAATGAAAAAGTTACCTCAGCTACTCAGTGCCTTCCCAGATTGCATGTCTAAAGTATATGAGCAAAGCAACATTGTCATTTATTTTTTTTTATAAACAGAACAGAAGCTCACAAGCTAATCACCATGGATCAGTGCTGACCTATAGAATATATATGTTAAGATATACAATATATGTGCTATTATGTAGACCTCACTTAATAAAGCTTGTACAACATTATAAGAACAGTTTAAGAAGATGTTTAAGGCCTGCCAACCTTCAGCTTTGCCAATATATATGAGAAAGTTTGCTATTCTTTCTCTTTACATTGTGAGTTGTCATAACTAATTTTGAAGCCTTTTATTTTATATAATTAATATTCCTTCTTTCTTATGAAAATTCAAAGAAAATGTGTATTTGTTAAAGCATCCCAAAGAAGGAATGTTTTATATATTTTTAAGTTCAGCATTCACATTGAATATTACATTTCTAATATTTTTCTTATTACAGATTAACACAAAGGAAAATATTACATTGATGAAAACAAACTTTATTAACAATGGAAGTGATTCAAAGATAACATCTAAAGTTAAATCTCCTCTAGTTTTAGCTGCAATCAATATGTAACATAAAAATAAAAATATTTTGCTTATTTTAAATATCTTTCTGAGACTTTTGCATGATACATCACATCAACTTTTCTAATATTCTTTTGTAAAGTGACTTAAAGAGTTATTTTTAAGCATTAATACAGAGACAGAAATATACCTGATCCTAACTGCCAGACAGGGATAAATTCATAACTTACATGTCACTAGCTAGATAATTTATTCTTACAAGGTGGAAGTAAACAAATGCAGGCTTAATATTTCTCCAGGTCTGCCTAGTACACCCTGAAACAAGTCCTTCTAAAGAACATCTGCCCAAATGTAATTTAATAATAGCTTCTACAAAACCAGCCTCAAAAATATTTGCAGAAATTTTGCATTTATGAGAAAATATTTACAGAGTATCCAATATGATAAAACATACAATGTTTAGCATCTAATCCAAAAGGACCAGGTAGGCAAATGGATAAAGCTCAAACTGAGAGAATTAGTAGGGCAGGACCAAAGCCCAGGGTTCAAAGTTCAGCACCGAATACATGAAGTAAACAAATAAATACCGGAAGTGTATGTGGCCCTGATTATTCTCTTTCTGGCTTTGTAAGTAATTTGCTGGCAAGCAAAGAAAGAGAAGATGGAGCCATATGAGCAAGAGTTTTAACCTATTAAAACAAATGTGGTAACCAACACAAACATACTCTATTAGTTATTATACCTTCAATTTATGTGCTCAAAAAGTTAAAAACAGATATAAAGTGTAAAAATACAAATCATACTTCCAGATCTGAAGACCATGTTTGAACTGAATACTGCTACACAGGACTAACAACAGATTGACGTTATAGAAGAAAAGACCAGTAAACAGCAAAATATCAACCCAAACTCCCCAAAATTAGATGTAGAGAGAACGTGTAATCCAGGAAATTTAAGAGAACAGTTGTGAGTCCTAGGATGAGATTAAACACTGAAATAGGAATCCCCAAAGAAGATAGAAAAGTGATACGGAAGCAAAAATAAATCCAAGGCCTAGGTGAAACTTTAGGTGGAATCTTATTTAAAAAGAAAAAGAATAAACTATCAATCTGTAGGTCCATGGGCAATGGACTCCAAAGACAAAAATTCATTTATGAAATTCTTTCGAAAAAGAATACTGTTTTTACCTTTTACTCTTTAAAGATATTATTTTATGATGTTATCATTTATCATTCTTGATAATAATCTAAAAAATTGAGTAAAATTACTAGGCATATCTAACTGTCCCAACTCAGTAAAAAATTATTGATTATCCAGAGAAAATAAGTTGTCATTTTTAGAGGAAACCAAGAAAGGATAGTAATAGATTTCTTAATATAATCAAAGCAACAAACAATGTAGCAACCTATAAAAGTACTGAGCTGCTGATAGGACCGACCTTTAGCAGCTCAGGGATTGAAGGGGGAGCCATGAAGTCAGTGGATAACTCACTCAATTGACTTTTTTATCTGAGGGAGTAAAACTTAATTCTCTGGGGCCAGTGAAAAGGGAACACACACACACACACACACACACACACACACACACACACACACACACCACACACACACACACACACCACACACACACACACACACACACCACCCCTCCAGCATGTCAGGATCTCATCTAGGATATTGATGAATGGCAAGCCTACAGCAGGTCAGAGAAACTGAAGGGGCCATGCTGAGCAGGCAAACCACTGTCCAGACAGACAGACACCTGAGGCTTTTCTCATTTTATTATTCCTTTTGTTGCTTATTTTGTTGCTTATTCTACTATACTCTTTTGTCGTTGTTGTTGCTCTTTTCTTCTACCCTGATGTTTCCCTTCTTTGTCTCTTTCCTGATCCTCCTTCCACACTACTTTCTCAGATCTTC